TAAATGAGTGAGGGTCGTAGGGTGCCAGTGTTGCGTGTAGCAGTTTGTGTGTCAGTATAATGAGTGAGGGTCGTGTGGGGTCAGGTTGCGTGTAGCAGTGTGTGTGTCATAAAAATGAGGAGGGCGTGGGTGTCAGTGTTGCGTGTAGCAGTTTGTGTGTCAGTATAATGAGTGAGGGTCGTGTGGTGTCAGTATAAGATGAGGGTCGTGTGGTGTCAGTGTTGCGTGTAGCAGTTTGTGTTCAGTATAATGAGTGAGGGTCGGTGGTGTCAGTAATGATGAGAGTCGGGTGTTAGTGTTTGCGTGTACGTTTGTGTGTCAGTATAATGAGTGGGGGCGTGTGGTGTCAGTATAGTGGTGAGGGTCGTGTGGTGCCGTGTTGCGTGTAGCAGTTTTGGTGTCAGTATAATTATGAGGGGCGTGTGGTGTCAGTGTTTGCGTGTAGCAGTGTGTGTGTCATATAATGAGTGAGGTCGGTGGTGTCAGTTTGTTGGTGTAGCAGTTTGTGGTCAGTAAAATGATGAGGGTCGGTGGTGTCATTTTAATGAGTGAGGGCGTGTGGCCATGTTTGCGTGTAGCAGTTGTGTGTCATATATGAGTGAGGGTCGTGTGGTGCATGTTGCGTGTAGCAGTGTGTGTGTCAGTATAATAGTGAGGGTCGTGTGTGTCAAGGGTTTCGGTAGCAGTTTGTGTGTCAGTATAATGAGTGAGGGTCGTGTGGTGTCAGTGTTGCGTGTAGCAGTTTGTGTGTCAGTATATGAGTGAGGTCGTGTGGTGTCAGTGTTGCGTGTAGCGTGTGTGTGTCAGTAAAATGAGTGAGGGCGTGTGGGGTCAGTGTTGCGTGTAGCATTTTTTGTGTCAGTATAATGAGGAGGGTCGTGGGTGTCAGTGTTGCGTGTAGCAGTGTGTGTGTCAGTATAATGAGTGAGGGTCGTGTGGGTGTCAGTATAGGAGTGAGGTCGTGTGGTGCCAGTGTTGCGTGTAGCAGTTTGTGTGTCAGTATAATGAGTGAGGGTCGTGGGTGTCAGTGTTGCGTGTAGCAGTGTGTTGTCAGTATAATGAGTGAGGTCGTGTGGTGTCAGTGTTGCGTGTAGCAGTTTGTGGTTTAGTATAATGAGTGAGGTCGTGTGGTGTCAGTATAATGAGTGGGGGGTCTGTGGTGCCAGTGTGCGGTAGCAGTTTGTGTGTCAGTATAAATGAGTAGGGGCGTGTGGTGTCAGTTGTTGCGTGTAGCAGTGTGTGTGTCAGTATAATGAGTGAGGGTCGTGTGGTGTCAGTGTTGCGTGTAGCAGTTTTGTGTGTCCAGTATAATGAGTGAGGGTCGTGTGGTGTCAGTGTTGCGTGTAGCAGTTTGTGTGTCAGTAAATGAGTGAGGGTCGTGTGGTGTCAGTGTGCGTGTAGCAGTGTGGGTGTCCAGTATAATGAGTGGGGTCGTGTGGTGTCAGTGTTGCGTGTAGCAGTTTGTGTGTCAGTATAATGAGTGAGGGTCGTGTGGTGTCAGTGTTGCGTGTAGCAGTGTGTGTGTCAGTATAATGAGTGAGGGTCGTGTGGTGTCAGTGTTGCGTGTAGCAGTTTGTGTGTCAGTATAATGAGTGAGGGTCGTGTGGTGTCCAGTGTTGCGTGTAGCCCGTTTGTGTGTCAGTATAATGATGAGGGTCCGTGTGGTGTCATGTTGCGTGTACAGTGTGTGTGTCAGTATAATGAGTGAGGGTCGTGTGGTGTCAGTGTTGCGTATAGCATGTGTGTCAGTATAATGAGTGAGGGTCGTGTGGTGTCAGTGTTGCGTGTAGCAGTGTGTGTGTCAGTATAATGAGTGAGGGTCGTGTGGTGTCAGTGTTGCGTGTAGCAGTTTTTGTGTTTTCAGTTATAATGAGTGAGGGTCGTGTGGGGTCAGTATAATGATGAGGGTCGTGTGTGTCAGTATAATGAGTGAGGGTCGTGTGGTGTCAGTGTTGCGTGTAGCAGTGTGTGTGTCAGTATAATGATTTAGGTCTGTGGTGTCATATAATGAGTGAGGGTCGTGTGGTGTCAGTATAATGAGTGAGGGGCTTGTGGTGTCAGTGTTGCGTGTAGCAGTGTGTGGTTTTCAGTATAATGAGTGAGGTCGTGTGGGTCAGTATAATGAGTGAGGGTCGTGTGGTGTCAGTATAATGAGTGAGGGTCGTTGGTGTCAGTATAATGAGTGAGGGTCGTGTGGTGTCAGTGTTGCGTGTAGCAGTATGTGTCAGTATAAGAGTGAGGGTCGTGTGGGGGTCAGTATAATGATGAGGGTCGGTGGTGTCAGTATAATGAGTGAGGGGCGTGTGGTGTCAGTATAATGATGAGGGGCGTGTGTGTCAGTATAATGAGTGAGGGTCGTGTGGGCTAGTATGACATAATTTAAATGTACTTCCATCCTGCTTCCCACACTGCTTCTCTTTCAGGAAGTCTCTCCCCAACACCTCCTGGAAACCCTCCTTATATCCTCCTGTCCTGTCCCTCGCTTCATCACACATCCTGTGGGTATCTTGCCATGCCACACCTCGCATCCCACACTTCCATTTTTAAGAGTTATGTGCACTATGTTTGATACAAGAATCATTCCTCAGTAAGCCATGTGTGTCCTAAGTGGCTACTAGAAGGCCGGGAACAAGAGGATTGTAACCTTTTCTCCTGTATCAATTACTAAATATAAAAGGTTTACTTCCGTCTCGGGTCACCTGCCTCGGTGGGAGACGACCGGTATATTAAAAAAATTAATGCACGCGACTTAGTGATTAGTCAGTGTGTGTGTGTGTGTGTGTGTGTGTGTGTGTGTGTGTGTGTGTGTGTGTGTGTGTGTGTGTGTGTACTCACCTAATTGTGGTTGCAGGGGTCGAGACTCAGCTCCTGGCCCGTCCTCTTCACTGAGAGCTACTAGGTCCTCTCTCTCCCTGCTCCATGAAAGTGCTCCATGGAAGCACTTGACTTGTACTCATTGGAACGCAGGAAGGAGAGATATATCATAATCTACACTTGGAAAATCTTGGAAGGAATGGTCCCAAATCTGCACACAGAAATCACTCCCTACGAAAGTAAAAGACTGGGCAGGCGATGCAAAATGCCCCCAATTAAAAGTAGGGGCGCCATTGGTACACTAAGGAAAAACACCATAAGTGTCCGGGGCCCAAGACTGTTCAACAGCCTCCCATCAAGCATTAGGGGAATTGCCAATAAACCCCTGGCTGCCTTCAAGAGAGAGCTGGACAGATACCTAAAGTCAGTGCCGGATCAGCCGGGCTGTGACTCGTACGTTGGACTGCGCACGGCCAGCAGTAACATCCTGGTTGATCAGGCCCTGATCCATCGGGAGGCCTGGTCATGGACCGGGCCGCGGGGGCGTTGATCCCCGGAATAACCTCCAGGTAACCTCCAGGTATCATACCTCATCGTAAAGCTATGTGTGTGTATGTGTGTGTGTGTGTGTGTACTCACCTCACCTAGTTGTACTCACCTAGTTGAGGTTGCGGGGGTCGAGTCCGAGCTCCTGGCCCCGCCTCTTCACTGATCGTGTGTGTGTGTGTGTGTGTGTGTGTGTGTGTGTGTGTGTGTGTGTGTGTGTGTTCACTGGTACTCAACTGGCAATTTAACCACTATATCCGCGGACTGACGTGCAGCTTCCTGGTGAAAACATTCCACCCAAAATAGCAAGGTCCTCAGTTCAATTCCCTGGCAAGGAGAAACATGTAGGGTCGAGTTTCCGTGCACTTCTGACCTCCTGACCCCACCCATCTTCCAGGAAAAAAAATGTGCTGGAATGTCATTTCATCTGTAAGTCAACACATTAATCCTGAGTAAGAAACTGGGATACCTGCTGGAAGTACCACTTTGTCGGGTATAAGGTATCCCTGAACTCCAATGGAAATAAGTCACTTTGACTTTTTTATTATTATGTTAGGAAATTTACACATATGTTAAGCTATGCATGGTAATTGTAGTTATGTGTAGATTAAACGGTTGCCAACTACGACCTGTGACCCAGTACTGTGTACCAGCCACCTTCTACCACACTGGTAATATACCCAGTACTGTGTACCACCCACCTTCCACCACACTGGTAATATACCCAGTACTGTGTACCAGCCACCTTCCAACACACTGGTGATATACCAAGTACTGTGTACCAGCCACCTTCCACCACACTGGTGATATACCCAGTACTGTGTACCAGCCACCTTCCACCACACTGGTGATATACCCAGTACTGTGTACCAGCCACCTTCCACCACACTGGTGATATACCCAGTACTGTGTACCAGCCACCTTTCACCACACTGGATATACCCTACTGTTACCACCACCTTTCCCCGACAGGTAAATTACCCAGTAAATGTGTACCAGCCCCTTCCCCACACTGGTGATTACCGGGGTACTGTGTACCAGCCACCTTCCACCACCCAAAAGGGGATATACCCGTTTCTGTGTACCAGCCACCCTTCCCCACACTGGGAAAAATTAAT